AATTTCTCGGAATCCACTTCACCACAATCGCCTCCTGTCTGTAGTCGCTGCTGCCGAACTGGATTGCTGCAGACACTTCTTCTTATTCTCCACTCGCCGTAGATCTCCACTCTCGACATTATGTCCAACGCCTTAAGCCCCAGTGGGCCTCGAGCGGCGGATCACCGGGATCTGCCTTTGGTCCTCACGTCACACGCGACGAGCTCCACCGCTACGCCACGCGCCTCCTCCGTCGTGAAGGCAAGCTCACGGCAGCTTTGGCCTTCCAGGCTTTGCCCCGCGGCTCGGATCTTCCATCCGTAGAACACCTAGGTCGACTGGACGATCTCCGCGACTATATTCGTGAGCGGGATCGAGCGATCTCCTTCATGCAACAGTCGATCAACGGTCTTCGAGCGGAACGAGATACACTGCAAATTGATCTTGACTCCCACGCCCAAGTAGTCCATGATCCGCGCGGATCCGCCGCCTACGTCCACGCCCTCGAGCGACAAGTTGCGGATCTGGAGTCCCAAGTCGCTCAATCTCTACAGGAGCGTGAACACGTAGGCGCGGAGATCCTGGATCTGCAGGAGGAGCGCACCACGGTGGATCGCATCCGGGACCAAGCCACCAACCAGCTACAAGTCACTGAAGGAGTACTGCGCCACACATGTCAGGCCTTGGATCGGGCTGAAGCCGATCTACTGATTACGCACCAGGTCGCGGCCATAGTCTCGCCAGATCCGTCGTCGTCGGATCTTCAAACCAAGTTGGAGCAGCAGATGGCGAAACGTGTAGCGCTCCAAGATTGCTTCGATCAAGTTCCGGCCGAACGCGATACGTTAAATGTGAAAGTCCAGGCCATGGATCGAGAGGCGGATGTACTTCGCGGTCATATCCAAGAGCTGACTGTGGAGTTTAAACAGGCGAAATCGGGCTGTGAGGTCGCGCGCGTAAATCTCGCTGGCGCGGTCAAGCGCGAGAAGGGATATTGTGACGCAAGCGAGGATCTGAGTACGTCTCCTTTTCCTTGACCTAGATCACATCCTCTCGCTAATATAGTGCTTTTTTCTTTCTGCAGAGCGCGATGTCACTGTGGCTCGGACCGCTTATGCCAACGCTGAGCGGTCGATCACGTAGCAACCGGCTCAGATCTTGAAGTTAAACCGCCAACTGGCCCACCATGATCAAGTGCGTACGGATCTGCGGCGCGAACTACGGAAGACGCTAGAGATGTTGTCCACAGTGGCTGCCGGGATGGGATCTAGTCCTCCCACTACCAAACTTTGTATCGATAGTCCTCCCCGGGACCAAAAGCAGCCGGATCAAGAGCATCAGGATCAAGAAAGGCCGGATCACGACAAACCAAGTCTCAAACGTTCGGGCCAGGACAACCAGAGCCCGGAAAGTGGAGATCGGGGTATGTCGGATCAAGACAAACCAAGCCAAGAGAGCCCGGACCAAGACATGTCGGATCAAGGCAACTCGGAACTCGACAAGTTTGATCAGGATCGGCCCGACCAAGATCCTGACTACACACCCACGCCCAACGGGCCTGATGGATCTTCTTTCACTGGCAAGCGTCAAGATCTTCCCCCAGTAAGAGATCTCGTGATCTCTCCCCTCTTGCGACGTAGATCGTCCTTCCAAGAGACAAGCCCCGATGACTGAAGATCAGAAGAAGGATCTGGATCGCGAGGAAGTTCAAGACGACTACGACATGGGCAGGGTCTTGAACGTCGAAATACCATCGGATCCAGATCACGCTCTACTCGACGAGTTGTTGGAGAAGGATCGCGGAGCTGCGAGGCCTGTTCCGACTCCCGAGACGCGCTACTTATCTTTCGAGAAGGGTGGATCCAAGAAGTCTAACATCCCAGCAAGCTCAGATCCCGCGTCCAAGCCCAATCCCTAGGCTAAATCTCGGTCGGCCGGTGATCCTAAGCCCTCCAAGGGCGCAGATCTAGAGGAAGAAGATCAAGGATCGGAAGCAGACACTTCAGCCGATGGCGATGACGACGACACTTTGAACGACATGTTGCAAGCTCAGACGCTCATGGCTCTTACTCGATCGAGATCCATGCAGAGGCGCTGCGATCACGATCTCCTCGGCGTACCGGAGCTGGCGGCGCTGGGGATCCTGGATCAGGCAGTGATTCAGACGGTGATTGCTCAAGCAACGGCAGTGGTGGTGGGGGTGGCGGATCTCCTGCGGATCCGGCTGGAATGCCCCTCGTTCCGACGATGCCTTCCCGACAATATTTCGCTCCTGATCACATATGTATTCCTGGCCGCCAACAGACCCGTCAGTACAACATTGCGGACGTGGATCCGTGGGTGATCCAGCGGATCAATACTCTGACGATCATGACGATGGCTTTGGAGGTACTGTTCCGCGCGCTACGATTTCGTCCTGAGTGGATCTTCCCCAGTCATCTTCCTCGGGTCGCTACTCCAAGATCGGGCCAGTATTTTGGTCACTTAATCACGGGTCAGAACGTTCGTGATGTTATGGCTGCCCTTCCCTGGAGTGTTCTCCCTAGTGCTAACATCCCGAGCCCATGTCGTTTGAGATCACGGTCGATGGTCGCTTGGGATTCCTGATCGTGGGATATTCTGCGATGGAATTCCAAAGTTTTAATCGCCTATTGGGAGTCAACCCATCGTTTTCTAGTTTCGTCAGCATTGATCTGCAGCGATCCATATTTGGTCACATTCTTCGTGGAGAGGAAGAACCGTCGGTGGCATGCGGGCGCCAGGTGGAAGCAGATCCTCCGTCTCTTCTTGATCGCGATGCGTAAGGGCTGGTGTGATCTGGATCTGCTGTTGGATCCTTATTTTCTTCATTTTCCCAAGCGTACGGACGAGGTGGCTTGGTATCCCGGGATCGAGGCCCGCAGTGCTAACATCGCAGATCCGCAGCTGAATTGTCGTGAGCCTGCTGACCTGATCGAGCCTCTCGCTGAGTGTGACGCTGCAGATCCGTGACGTATCACTACCGACTGCACCATGCGGGCCATCCCGCTCGCCGGATCGCACGTCTCGCCAGCAAATTCTTCAACATGGCGGCCCTGAACCCCAACGCGCCGCCTCTTGATCCTCAGCCATGATCCTGACATTTCTTCTTACACCCTCTTCGGATCATCTTCGTTAGACGTAATACATGTCATTCTCTTTTCAGATCTGTGTTCACCAGTATCCTTTGTTTTCATGAAGTCTTTGGCCATCTTACTCATCATGGATTTCCACCGTAATACCTCCATGTTCATAGTTCTCCCCTTAATCCATAATTTCTCGGGTAATACCACCCTAGACCCACAATCAAAATCCATTTTCGCTCACTCCATGTTCATCTCAAAATCAATCTCTTTCCTCTTCAGTCCTCTATCAACATGTCATCATGTACAAAGTCACATACCCCCTGTCCTCCGATCTGCAACCTGCTTGCAGATCCATTGACTGTCAGCCAATGACCAGCTCACCAGTGTGGATCCAGATCTCACGGTTCCTCGTGAGATTGCATCACACCGAAACGGTCGCGATTGGCGCGATCTCGCAAGAACTCATAGAGAAGAGCACCGCAGTTGAGATCTGCCTCTTCTACCCAGTTTGAATCTTCATATCCACGCCAGTATACTAAAAATCCTCGGTAGATCCGGCCATATCTAGTCCTCTTGCCAGTCCTCATATCGGAAATTCGCTCCACTTCGTATTCATCTGGATCCCGATCTTAGGTCCAGCTGACTTCAGGTAGGAGAACTTTACCGAAATTTACCCGATCTCCTTCTGACCCATTTAGACGAGCTACTGATCGATCGGGGAATATCTTGACCAGTTTGATCTTCGACACATGCACCACCGGGAAAATGCTGTATGTGGATCCTGCAACCTCTAACCTCACAGCGTTTTCCCGATTTTTTCAGCAACGCGGAATGGCCCGTGCCACAAATGCGTCAGCTTTTTTGCATATCTTTCACGCGCTCGATCTAGGTATAACCAAACCTTGATCCAGACTCTACAGGATGAGGACGTACTAGATCATTATGCGTATCGGCCCGATCCGCGATCGCCTCACGTGGACGTTGGTTCACTTGTTCTCTGGCCTGCTGACGGTATTTTTGCATCCGATATCGCCATTTTCTCGGATCTCGATCGTGCCTGCGAGTTCTCCCCACCGGGATCACCGCTTCCAGGGTAGATCTAGAATCCCAGCCATGTATCATGTAGAAAGGCGTTTCACCTCGGATCCGATCTCTTGCAGTGCTGATCGCGAAGGTGAGTCGCTCAACATAATCGTCCCAATCTTGCTGATCTAGATCCTCCACATACATATTAAGAGCCCTGGTAGTTGTCTGGACCGTACGTTCTGCAGATCCATTAGCTTGGGGTCGATACGCCATCGTAGCCCGTTGGCGTTGTTCCAGGATCTTGTTGAACGCGTTAAAGAAGTCAGACATAAAGCCTGGCTCACGATCGTGTCGGATCACTTTGCTAGCGCCAAATCGGCCGAAGACACATTCCTCGTAGGTCTCGACGATTGTCGGGGCGGATCTGGAGGCACTGGCTTTGGCGATCACATATCCCAAGAATAGATTCACGAAGATCAGCAACTCAGTGTTGCCGTTGAAGGATCTAGGCAATGAAGGTATGTGATCCATGGCAATGATCTGGAATGGGTATGTCGCCTAAAAGTTACCAGGCGACTCGCCCTGGATCCGGGGTCTTCCTTGCCTGTTTCACAGTCAACACATTCCCCCACGTATCGTTGTACACTCTTATACAGACCTCTCCAGTGGCAGTGATCACGGATCCGATCGTAGGTGCGACAGACCTCGATGGCCGCCCTGTAGACTCGTGTGATAGTGATGCAAAGTGTCCTGTTGAAGCGTCTCAGGTATCACCAGTCGCATCAGCTTGTCCCGATCTGCGGCAGTTTCCTTAGTTGTCGGGCAATAGAAGAGTAGATCCAACTAATCCACTTCATAATTCATAGCAATAGATCCAAACATCTTAGCCTCTTCTTGTGTCAGATTCCGGATCTCCCCGACCAAATACTTTTTCAAGCCCTTGATCCACGACTCCTCGCCCTGGGCTTGTCGGATCCGCTCAATCCGCAACTCTCTCACGACTTCTTCTCGTAGGGAGTCTGGTTCAGATCCAATACGCACTCCTGATCTAGCCTGAGATCGGGTCATCACAGCTGATATCGGTGCGATCTCTTCTTCGCCTTTCACTATCAGGATCTCATCCAACCAATTTAAAGTTATGAGATCCTGGATGTCCGTGTCAGACTCTATCTCGATCCCAGATTGCCGTTGCAGAGCAGCGCTTGCTAAGCTGTCAGCACTCCCGTTCCAGTCTCGTTTGACGTTTAATAGTTCATGATCTGGCCACGTACGAAGTCGATCCAAGGCTCGCTGGCGTAACAGTGTCAGACCTGGCGCCTTACAATCAATCTCTCCTCGTACTTGTCAGATCACCAGGTTGGAGCCTCCGCAGATCACCAGACGTCGTGGAACCAGATCTTCCAACAGATCCAAACATAGCAACAACCCATGATATTCTGCTTCGTTCACCGTCAAGCCTTCGGCATACCCTGATCTAGCTTTCAGCACTCTCCATTCGGGCAGCTTCCACAAGATCGCGCTGTAGGCGCCTCCACCTTTCTTGACACGGGCTGATCCATCGAAACTGACGACATATAGCTCCTCACCTCGTCTGATAGTAGGAATCGGAGCTTGGATCTTGCGTCTTGGCTCCTTTTTAGGGGCATTGAAATCAATGCCTTATCCACTTCCGATCTAGGGGTAATACTGGCCTCCAGTACTCCCAAGATCTCGTCCTCTCCTTTGACACACTTGGCCATCTCCAGTCCAGGGCGACAACAGAGTCGCCCACTGTCCTAGACGTCCTTGTAAAGCTGTGGATCTGGAGAGCCAAGCCAATGTTGAGTGTCGGGTCAACACATGGATCGGACGTCCGACCAACGCATTATAGTTAAGATCCAGGGTCCTCAGAAGGGCTAATACCTCCTTCTCCGCGATTCCATGGTTTAGACTATTCGACTTAAGTACGGCTTGCAAACATCACAGCGTAATAGATCTGGTCGTATTCCTGCATCAATGACCCCGAAATGGCCCAATCGCTAGCATACGCCACAACTGTGGCCTTCAGATCTGGATCAAAGTGCGGTAAGATCGGAGTTGTAGCGATCCTAGTTTTAAGCACATTGAGGGACCTTTGGGCATGGATCCAGCGCGGATCTACCTCGGCAGAATCGGGCGCCTCCCGATCTAATGTCTTTCGGTGGTCGACACCCTGATCTTCCCGCGATCCTAGATCTACATCCACTTCTCCCAGTACTTGTTCGATCCACGCTTGGGTAGCTTCCTTCATCATCGCAGAGAAGTCGGTTTTTCGTAACTCATACAGAACTGACGCGTAGGTCGTGTAGTCTTCGATAAGTCGGCTGTAATAATTCAGACTTCCCAAAAAGGCCGAGTTCAAGCGAGCTCGATCCGTCATTTTCACTACCCAAAATACACTCGCCATATCCAAAGAACAGTACCAAAGTGGACTCCAGATCTTCGAGTAGGTCGTTGATCAAGGGCATTGGGTATACCATCAGCTGCGTTGGGATATTAACCAACCGATAATCAATGCTTAGCCTGATATTCACTCCATTCTTCTTGATGATCACCACAACCCGGGAAGCCCATGGTGCTCTAGAGTAGCTGATCATCTTGGCGGACAATAGACCCTTGATCAAGTCCGCCAGCTTCTCCCTGAACTGGATCCGCAACTTACGGCACTTGAGGACGATAGGTCTCGCTCCGTCGACATCGATATCGCACACCACACCTCTAGCCGTCGGCGGAAGGGCATTTCCCTCGCCGATCGAGAGATGTTGGAGCTTCCAGATCCTTTGGCAAAATCGATCAATTTCTTCTGGAGTCTGATTATCAGATCCGCATAGTTAAATGTCTTCAATCCTCACATCTTCCGTCGTCACAGGCATTTCCGGCAGTATCGCCATCTGACCATCGACGTCTTCGGCGTATAAATCACTTCCTTCATGGTAGTAAACGCATTCATCATAATCTTGATCTGAGGCCCAGGTAAGATCCAGATCCGATGTGCCTAGTTGATCTTTAACAAAAGGATCCGTGTCCGTTTTGTGCGACACAGATGCAGCGCACTTGCCGTTCAATGGATAACCGGTCACGTGTCCTGTCCCAGGTTGTACACTCATCATTGATGGCAGATTCGATCCGCCGCATTTCGACGGCGGTGTTCCTTGATCTTGACCTCTCGAATGTAGTTGATCCTGACTGACGCCCTCAATTTCATCTCAGTCATCCTCTTTCGCATTCCCTCCACGTCTGTAGTTTCCCCCACCAACGGATTTGTCGCCCACACGTCTGGTGTCACTTGATCGAGATCTTCTAGCGCCTCCTTGACCATTACAGCATGCAATATAGAGTCTTCGTCTGCAAAAGACGACAGATCCGACTCCTCACTTGCGACAGACGCTAGATCCAACGGTCGAATTTCCGACGGCGATTTGTCCGACGGCGACTCGCCCGAGGGTGGACAGTCAGGCATATTATGATCCTGACTCGCCCCTACCTTCCGATGCTGGATCAACGTCGTCTTCGGTCTTGGGTGGAGTTTTATATCCGGGCCGCTCCACCGCAGGCACCACGGGAATCTTGGCCTTTATTCCTACAGATCGGGTGTCTGTTGTCGCTTCGAACGCTAGATTCAGCCACTCCATGTAATGCCGAGAGCCGATCGAGATAAAGCCCGGCATCCGCGGCACATGGTCTCCAGCGAGCCAGATCCCGTTCCGTTGGTCTTGATGCAGGATCAACACCTCGTCCCCGATGTTGGTGATCGAGATATATTTTGTCCTGCCTGGTCTACCGGATATTGTCGGCACCCATTGGTCTTCACGCGTGCCCCACAGCTTGTCGTGGATCGACGACCTCAGGCGCAATGGTAGTTCCACCGACTCCCCTGCTTGGATCCGATGCTGTTGGCCGACGTTGACGATCTTCGCCTTGTCGCTATGAAGATGCCGCCTCCCGCTAAGCTGGATCCGGACTTCGTCCGGCAAGCAGATCGATCCATGGGTTAGATCTAGGCGGATCCCGGCTGGAACCATGAAGTCCATGCCACGTATAGCTTGTTGGCCAGTCAGAGATCACCCACCCAGATATCGAAGAAATATACCAGTGATTCGGCGAGAGTTACCTTGATCCGGGTTCTTCCTTCCGTCTCGTACACATTATCTCCAATTCCCACACAGTCCTGGATCTGACTCGAGTCGATATAGCACTCAATCTTACGAGCAATGGCGGTGTCCACGATGGACACGTCGGCGCCGGTATCTAAGAATAAGATCGCCTTCTCATTGTGGATCTTGCCTGTGATCTCCGCTTGACGAAACCATTTACCTTGTGTACCCGTCGGTAGGGCTGGGTCTGCTCCTCCAGTAACTG